AATTCATCGTCTTTCTAAATTTTAACGCGTCTTAGGGCCGTAGTGCGGTAGTGACACTTTTCCGGACATGGGTCCCTATACTCAAATGTTTTCTACTGTTGCACTGAATAACCCCTAGAAGTTTGATCCCATAGTTCTGAAACACCCTGTATACTGTTACTGAGAGAGCGCAAAGAGTTCTCCTCATTGAAATTACTTCTTACGGTTTTCTTTCGTGCTCACGAAATAAAGAGAAAATTTCTTGTAACAATCACGTCTTCTTACAGAAATGAAAAGTATTTAATGCGCCGGTGTGCAATTGTAAGAAAATTTCCTTCTTCCGCGTGAGGAAAAATTTTTGCCACAAAAAACGAGACTTTCATCAGCTCCGGCATATATACATCTCATTCCGTCGTACAAAAAAAAATAAAATAAAATAAAAAACAAATGCAACAAATGTGGAGATATTTTTGTTTTAGTTTCAATATATGTAGGTAGACTGTATTAAAAATTTAATTGAATTGATTATATATCGTAGTCTTCTCCGCTCGTTATACATTTATATAATATGCAATTCGACTACAGACAAAATCGTAATAAGCAATAATTTGACATGTTTCCTTCCAATTTGATATGTTTCCTTCCAATAATTTGATATATGAATCCTTCTCGGGAGTTTTTTTTTAATTAACGTTGTACGTACTCGCTATAAATGCGACAAGTGTTTTCGAATATTAAATACTACCAAGAATTCAAACGAGGATAAATAATGCACATATGCTTTTTGCATACTTGAGATATCTGCGATCGAGCAGTCGACTATTGTCTCGTAGATATCATTGAAATCGGCTTCTGCGCAGTATTTACCACCGCTTCACATTGTGACTCACGAATTACACGTGTGGCAAAACTGCACATACTTTGTAGTCTATAAACTAAACACGATACGTAGATGCACACTGCGTAGTAGTGAGAGCAAGGCCACATAATGGGAGAGACGACGATATCATCAACTACTATTACAAATTACGTATCGTAACACAGCGACACACAATGTGATATTTCAAACTAAACTTTGTACATGGGATTACATAATATTATTCCAATTTCGTTCCGCGCGCGCGCGAACAATTTATATCAATTAATTAGTATATCAGTTTCCAAAAATTATTTCTGTCTCGCGATACTCTTTTCACCACCTAAATAATAAATTCAGTTACGAACACAAATGCGGTGATTACATAAACAAATTAAATATTTTTATTTTTTTACGATTAGATTATATACAACTTTTCAATTGTCATTTATGATCAATTACTCTCAATGTCGATAACACAACAAATTGTATTTAACGAGCAAGTTTATCTCTGTGTGAGCAGTCGCACGCGAGAGCTCTTCAAGCGAACAAGTCGCTGCAACTCGGCGAAACAATTACGCATTGGACTTTAACCCGAGGATGCCTCGCGCAAAAAAGTGATATTGACACAAGCTTCATCCCACGGCGCTGTGATACTTGACTTTGTCTTTCTCTCTCTCTCTCTGTGAAAAGCGTGCGATCGCGTATTACACGCCGAAACGCTCCGTTACCATGGAGTACTGGACGATAGCCTTATCGGTAGTGAGTGCACTCGTTATCTATTATTACGCGTTTCGCAAAACTCCGAACGACTTTCAACAACATGGAGTTCCATTCGCGCCACAGATGTCTTTGTTAAAAAGATTCTGGGTAATTTTTATATTTCCGGAGAGCTTCGCTGCGATAATTAAAAAAGTGTACTATATCCATCCGGACGCTAAGTATATCGGCCTCTTCGATATCTCGAGACTGATCGTGGCGATCCGCGATCTCGATCTCATCAAGTCCATCGGCATCAAGAACTTCGACTCGTTCGAAGATCATCTTTTCTTCGGCACCGAAAATCAAGATCCTCTTTTCGGAAAGAATCTCTTCGCTCTTCGGGGTGACAGATGGCGCGACGTCAGAACGCTCTTGAGCCCGTCTTTCACGTCGAGCAAGATGAAAGCGATGTATCAATTGATGTCGGAGGTAGCCGTCAGGTTTTCGGAACATCTGACGAACGTACCGTCCGAGAAGCGCGTTATGGAAATGAAGGACATTTGCACGAGGTACGCGAACGACGTGATCGCCACATGCGCTTTCGGCATCAACGTGGATTCGATGAAGTATCCGACGAACGAGTTCTACATGTACGGCAAAAAGGCGGTGGATTTCGGAACGATTGCTATCATAAAAATTTTGCTTTACCAGCACGCGCCGATGCTCATGAGACTGTTGGGGCTCAGTTTGATAGACAAACATACGCACGCGTTTTTCGTGAATCTAGTGGCCGACACCATACGGACCAGAGACGAGAAAGGTATCACTCGTCCGGACATGATCCAACTCATGATGGATAGCCGAAGCAAACGGGAACCCGGACGGGAACTGACCATTGTGGATATGACGTCACAGGCGTTTATCTTCTTTCTCGGCGGATTCGAAAGTAGCTCGACGCTGATGAGTTTCGTGATGCACGAACTCGCCGTCAATCCGGACGTTCAGACGAAGTTGCAGAACGAGATCGACAAGGTGTGGAAGGAAGCGAACGGCGAACCGTCTTACGAGGCGATCAACGCAATGACGTATCTGAGCGCCGTGATCAACGAGACGCTCAGAATGTTTCCGGTGCAACCGATGACGGACCGACTGTGCAAGAAGGATTTCGAACTGCCGCCCGCGTTACCGGACGCGAAACCGTACGTCGTGAAAAAGGGAACGGTAATTTGGTTTCCGTTTTACGCGCTTCAACACGACCCCAAGTACTTCCCGGAGCCGGACAAGTACAAGCCCGAGAGATTTCTCGACGAGAACAAAGATGAACAATGCGATTTCAATGCCTATTTTCCGTTCGGTTTGGGTCCGAGAATGTGCATTGGCAATAGATTCGCGTTATTGGAAACGAAGATTCTGCTGTTTCATCTTCTCGCTCGTTGCGATTTGAAACCGTGCGAGAAGACCGTCATACCTTTGCAATTGAAAAAAGGAGGATTCTCGATGCGAGCCGAAGGCGGCATGTGGTTGAGCATTGTGCCCAGAGAAAACCGTCCGATTGCGCACGAAGATTCGTTAACTGTAAACAAAATCTAAAAATAAGAGAGAACGCGCAACCGATTGCGTGTACGTGTGCGTAGTCTATACATACACACACATACGCGTATACATATTTGTACGTATAGAGTGTAATACAATGTAAAAATATATCATAAATATTTGTTTATATAAACTTATAAATAATAAACGCACGAAAAATTAACATGTAAAAAATGTTATATCAATGTTATATCGTACAGTTTTTAAGCACTTTATAGACATTTACAAATTCTATCTCTTCTCTTTCTCTCTCACTCTCTCTTAATTTTTATTAACAGGAAACAATAATGGTCAAGGTTTCATACACACGCACACACACGTGCGCGGTGTCGGATGTGGATAAGAGGCCAATTTTCTTCTCTTCCTGTCTCAAAGAGATATTAAAATAATAGCGATAATATATGTATATGTGATGCTTTATAATTAATGTATATAATAAATTGTGATCAAGAAATAGGACAAGAGAAATCAAATAAATAATTATATACAAACAAACAAACAACGATATAGCGCGTTACTCACATATTTTTATCGAGTTTAATAAATAATTTAATTTGCGCGTGTGTTATATAATAAATGTTTTTTACTCTTTGTGTTGTGTTTATTAATTTACTCTTGACTAGATTACTTTCATACTTCTCTGCGAGCAGAGAAATGAGCACATTTTTATATTGCCCACGCAGGTTTAATAAGCTCATTTAGACTGCTGGCGCCGGCCTTGAATTCAGACGGCACATCAATTAATATATTGCCAGAGCGTTGGGATTGTCTAGTAGCAAGCGTCACTCTCGCACAATCGAAATTGAAAATAATAGCTCTCGAATAATGGTGATACAGTCGATCACACATGACAAAAAAAAAGATCGCGTTTGCGCAACAACAGCAACCTAAATCCTGACTCGTAATATTTTTTCTCGTTTGAATTGTTATTAATATCTAATACCGCATGTCTAATTGAATAACGTAAAGAAGTACGTCGATGGAAAATATAACAATTAATAAAGTTTTTTATTATTTATGATTTATTTGTGAAATGATTTATTATTTATGATTTTTTATTATGATTTATGATTTATGATTTAGTATTGAAAATACGAAAAAAAAAAAATAATTGAGCGTTATTTCGCGGTATTTATTCCGTCGCAGTAAATTGTAATCTTCTTGGTAACATGTCATTGAGTCACACGTGAATAAACACAAACTTCTTCATGTAAAGTGAGAATATTCGAGACATAACCGCAGTTCACGGTCGCGTTTTCTGACAGATAAAACGTAGTTGCCACACTGTAAGCGCTGAGTACATTAACAAATAAACACTTCAAATAACATATCTCGTTGCCAGACTTTATCTTGTATTTGTCATTGCAAATTTGTCGTGTGCAAAGTTATCAGTATGATACATAATCACGTTGATAACACCTGTCGATAACAGTTGCCATCTCTTATCAAAGATTCGAACTACTTCAGATAACGTGAGATATCGTATGCGCTGAATATTCCTTTCGGGAAATGACGTGAGACGCATTTTTCATCGCAAAAACACGCGACGGAACTTGCGAAATCGATTTGCATCCCGACGCCAACTATGTCGGCACGCGCAATTTAATCAGACCGATTGTCATAATTCGCGAGCTCATTAAAAATCCGTCAAATAAATAATAATAAAGCGAAAAATTCGTGGATCGTATTAACTTTGCCAACGAAAATCAGAAATCTCGTTTGCACACCACAGAAATCTCATTGGGTTTCGTGGAGAAAGATGACGCGAAATATGATCTATACTTAGCTCCGGCCTTCGCGTCCAGCAAAATGAGAAACATGTTCAAGTTAATGTCGAAGGTTAAACGCGATACACTAAGATGAACTTCACGTTATAAGAAAACTAAATTGCAAAAACAATTTCTTAATTTAAAAAAAATACGCGATATCTTAAAATAGATATGCAATTGGGGAAATAATGTATTTTCTACTTGCAAGTGGAAAAGTCCAGATTTTTGTATACGACAAAGGAAATGTAATTTCGTGCGTCTTTAAATTATAGAAAAACAAATAATTTCAGAGATATTCTTAATTATATAAAATGTAAAAAAAGATAAATACGTTTTTTATCAATTACGACTAATCTTCTCTCTCTCTTTCTCTGTTATCATAAAATTACTAGCGCGCTGATAATAACTTTAAATTAAAATTTAAAGATGTTCTATCATATGTTCTATCTTTTACTTCATACAAATAATAAATGTAAGCATATATCTTGTTTGTAATGTTACAGGATGCAATTGACACCGTTATGCGGTAACGACGCAAAAGGAAATAATGACAATTCAATCAATCGAACCGTAACGATCTATCGAACCGTTAAGGCTCGTCTACAATAGAGAGTTTTAGGCCGTAACAGTAGGACATAAGAGACCTATTTCCGACTTAGAAGGTCGCAAAATGAATTACTTCCATTTTGTATACGATTCGCAGCAAATCTCGCATTACTTTGGTGCTGCGTTTGAAATTGTGATTTTCAGTAATGCCAGAGAATTTTGAAACGTAATTAAGATATCCGTCTAGTATTCTGACATGTTTGTTTTTTAATTGAATGAGAGAAAATTTTGAAATAGCGCGATATCTGACAAGGAAATGATGTGGTCTTTATTGTAGATAGACATAATCGTAGAAATTGCATCCTGCTACTTTACCACTTTATATATAGACGGATTGATGCGTAAAAGAAATAAATTAAAAAAAATACATTTCGCATTATACATAAATAATAAATGTGATATATATCTTGATGTTTATATACATTGTTATTTTTAGTATCAAAATTACAAACCTGAAAATAAATATAAGTATCACATTTGTTTGAATAAATATAAGTTTCACATTTGTTTCACATTTATTTGTTTATATATTGTGCGGTGCATTGTAACTTGCTTGATTATAAAACGTTGAGTCATGTAATATGTCCCTCCCACATGAAGTGTACAAAAGTGAGATGGCTCGCGCTACGATAGCAGTTCGTCGTTGCATTCTGACGAGTGTAATAGAAAGTCATCGGTGCTGTGCCGTGGGCACGTATATTTACGAAGACCGGTTTTATTAACGCTTGCGCGTTATCGTTTTGCGGGTACTTATCGTACGATAAAACGTTATCAGCGATGATATACGTACTCGCGATTTTGGCACTAACAATCGGTATCTATTATTACTTTTTCAAAGACTTCAATTACTTTAAAAAGCATGGGATACCGTACATTCAACCTCTTCCCGTGGTGGGAAATATGGGATCGCTGTTTCTCCGTCGTAAAGCACTAAGTGACTTCGTGCAATGGATGTACGACATACATCCCGATGCCAAGTACGTCGGCGTGTACGATTTAACCAGACCGCTTATTGTGATTCGCGATATTGAGCTCATCAAATCCGTCACGTTGAAACATTTTGACACATTTATGGATCACATTGAATTCATCAACGAAACGTTAGATCCCTTTTTCGGCAAAAATCTCATTGCTCTTCGCGGTGAGAGGTGGCGCGAAGTGCGATCCGTACTGAGTCCGGCCTTCACGTCCAGCAAAATGAAAAACATGTTCAAGCTGATGTCGGAGTGCGGCATCGACTTCTGCGATTATCTGCGGCAAACATCACCGGAAAATAGAATGACGGATATGAAGGATATTTTCACGAGATATACCAATGACGTAATTGCCACGTGCGCATTTGGCATCAGAGTTGACTCAATGAGAAATCCGAATAACGACTTCTACGTGTACGGTAAAGAAGCGACCACTTTCAGCTTTATTACGTTTTTGAAGTTCTACTTACACAGAAGTTTACCTTGGTTAGGACGAATAATATCGTTGACACTTGTTCGTGATAAAGTAGCGAATTTCTTTCGTTCTGTTGTAAAAGACACAGTTAAAACGAGAGATGCAAACGGTATCGTTAGGCCGGATATGTTGCAGTTAATGATGGACACCAGAAATAAAGATAGCAAGACGGAACTGACTATCGACGATATGGTGGCGCAGGCGTTTATCTTCTTTTTTGGTGGCTTCGAGAGCACTTCTGGAATCATGTGCTTCGTCGCATACGAGATTGCAGTGAATCAAGATGTACGAGAAAAACTTCAAAGCGAGATTGATCAGGTTTTGGAAGAAACAAACGGAGAAGCGTCTTACGAAGCGATCAACTCTATGGAGTATTTGGACGCTGTGGTCAACGAAACACTTAGAAAATATCCCATCGCTGGACTAATGGATAGACTATGTGCCGAAGATTTTGAGCTGCCCTCGACATTGCCGGGAGTGAAGCCGTATACTGTGAGAAAAGGACAAGGCGTGTGGATACCGGTTTATGCGATTCATCATGATCCTAAATATTTCGAAGAACCAAGCAAGTTCAACCCTGAACGTTTTCTTGGCGAACGAAANAAAGAAAGTCTCAATAGCGGAGCTTATTTTCCTTTCGGACTGGGACCCAGAATGTGCATAGGTAACAGATTCGCGTTGTTGGAGACAAAAGTTTTATTCTTTCATCTGCTGGCACGTTGCGACCTGAAACCTTGCGAGAAAACATCGATACCGCTAAAGATGTCTACACATGCTCCTAATATACAAGCCGAAGGAGGCATCTGGCTGAATGTGGCACCAAGGGAAACGCCACACCGCACTATTTCTGAGAAAACTACTTCGTAAGAACACTTCCTTGATTTACATGATAATAAACATTATGAAATTTGTAAATAATTAATGAAATATTTCTTTTTGTGTAATTTTAGATGAAATTTGCTGCCGGAGTGTTTCAAGAAGAACATTCATTTTATAGCGCAGTGCTGTTATAAAGATGTCAAGAAATATAAATTCGCTCAGAGACAGTGTTAGTTACATGTATAAGATGCAAGTAAAAATATATGACATATATATAGACATAAACCTATTTTTTCAACTAAACTAAACTAACTGTAACTAAAAGTGTTTTTTTGTTTTATTCTCTCCCCTCGTTATTACAATTTTACATATGTACGTATGTCTGAAAAATTCTGACCAAGTGGAAGAGTGAAAGTAGATTGAGTCAATTTGAACGGAAATGTCAGTTACCATTTTGCAAAATTCGCAATATTTATTGTATATAAGTAATTAATAAACAATAACTTTAATGAGCGCGTGAAAAGCGAGTATTGTGTAGGCGTGTACGAATTTCAAGTGTAACGAAAGACGGCTTTGCAACCTCTTCTGTTCAAGTTGACTCAGATTTTTATTTTTCACTGAATTAATATTATATTACTGGATTAATTTGTAAAATATAAAAAAGTATACAAATAATTAAAAAAAGTGACTTCCAAATGTGTATTTTTATTCTACACACGAATGACGCAAATTTACATACACGAATTTTTTAAATTTACGTACAGCATTAAGTCCACATTGACTTCCGTAAAACTTCAGAAAGAATGGTTCGATTACTTTCACCGATTTGCGAGTTTACACAATGTAACTCTACGCGTCGCGAAGCGAATATCTCCCAACAGTAATGCCAGACTCCTGCTTTTTGATAGCATGATACTACGGTGCGTATCTCCTCCATGTTACTATGCTACCAAACGGCTGATGAGTCTGACATCTTTGCTCACGAAATTCAAAATTTGTAGATGTACATGTGATCTATGATATATAGGGAAAGGTGAAGCAAGAGGAGATAGGTGAGGTTTAATGATGGATAAAACACAAATTTTCATATTCAACAAAACAACTTTACTTCTTAATTATTCTTTGGTAATCAATCTTTTGATTAAACTATAAATAAACCATCTCTTTAAAGCTTTTCATACTAAAAAATTAATAATTCAGAAAAGTTTTTTTCTCCCCATTTTGCCCCACGGGTGGGGTAAGACGGGGCACCTTCGTGGACAAGATAAGGTATCTATTAACAAATGATATGAAATTCATTGTTTACTGGGTTGACACACATGTATAACTTCATCATCGTCTTCTATATTTGCACACGAGCCCATTTCGATAATAACCCATTTTATTTTCTAAAACAACAGTAATCGCGTTTTGCATTGTTTCTTCGGACCAATTTTTCCGGTCCGTCTTTTGTTTGCAGTTTCTCATCCTGGAACAATGGAACAATAAACTTAGATTTTTATTTATACGTCTATGTGAGGCAAGATAAGATAAAGCGCATTTTTATTATTCCATCTTGCTCCCATTTTTGTCTCGATAAAATCATATCAACAAATTTCTTAAACACTGTTTACAAAAATATAAAATATCATTTTTATCTTTTAGCCTGCTAACTTCTGTCTTTTGATAGAAGCACACGTGTACCAAAGAACATAAATATTTTTATACCAATGTCACAGGTGAAAGAATGTTCGAAAATGATAAGAAAATTTTCAGAAATGACAAATTGCGTTTAACTTTATCGCACAGCCACATATTTGTGCTGGCTCGCTTATCACAATTAGTAACAATATGGTGACACATACATAACGTATATGCTCGATTGCAATTGGTGCGTTTCAGTCATGTGATACAGAGGCTACTTAACCTAAATGAGCAGTATCGGTAGCAGTTCGTCTCCCGCGTATAATACAACCATANACATATAAGAAATAGACTGCGCGTCCCGTATCTTTTCTGTGCAGAAAGAATGGTCAAACTTCGGACAAGAATAGATGCTTTCACCCGAGTCTCTATCCTTGTTTAGTGACGCGGTGATTAGCGGACAAGAAAAGTAGTAGAAATGAGAAATAGCGTAGTGGGGCAATAGAGGAGCATCGAGCGATGAAGGGGCGACAGTAGGCGATTGACANTCAATGAGTAGTTATGGTATAGGTTAATTTTAATCCGTTATTATTTGTTAAAAATCATGAGTATAATTAATAAAGACTTAAGGCTCGTGAAATTTAAACCTATGAATGAATATAAGGCCTTACGAGCCGTTCTCAAGGTGTTGAGCGAGAACTTATACATGTATATAT